TTTATTTTATGAAGATTTAGTTCTACACGTCTGCTAGTTGTTTGTCTAGAAGTCCTTACCAGTGTTTCTTTCTATGTATTATAATACAGGGGGTTTATCGTCATACATAATGCCTGCTGCTGCGGTGGGAGCAATGGGATACTGCTATATGTGGTGGAAGGCAAGTTCTTAAATGCATTGTAGCATAGAGGGTCATGGAGTCGAGATTAGCTTTCTATGTGATACTATTTATTATTTATTAATTGGCTTGGCTGACTGATTATAATAGAATTGGAACTTTGACGGGGAAGGATTCATTAAACAAAGACAAATTATTTTGTTGATAGCTATGGTTATTTCTATACATATGTATCTGTCGATTAGGCAATGGCTACTAAAATTTGTTGCGCATTAAGATTCAAGTTTTTTTTCCAACAACATGGTTGGCCTTGAACATTTCTGCATATTAAGAAAATTTCCAAGCAATAATTTATAAATTGCTATGACCTACCATTAACCTGCTGCCACGTAACTAAGCTGGTGCCCAGTTCCTTGCTGAGGAACTACTGGCCACTGAGGGACTTGCCATTAAAACATCAAGGCAATCTTTAGTAGGAAAATCTCTTGCAGCCAAGGGAAAATGATGATTTTTGGATATTGCATTCTTGCAAGAGGTATGATATAATGCAAAGAGACAAAGGAATGCATTGAGAATTGGAGCTAAATGGATAAAAAAAAATGTGATGTCAACTATAGACAAGATTGTGCTGATGTTTCTTCAGGAAAACAACTTCTTTGATGAGTTAAAAAGATCTCTTCTTGGAGATTCGAAACTCATCAGGTTAGGTAGTAGAATGGAGGAAAAAGAGAGAAAACTAGTTATGCTATGAACTAACTAGATTACGTCATTGTATGTCTTCTGTTTTTTTCAAATAAATAAATGTCAGAGACTCAGAGTTGATTCTGGGATTCATATGTTATTTGGCTTGCAGAAACTTGTAACAGTTTCTTTTTTGTTAGCATTTCTTTAGTGACACATGATTGCTTTTACAAAATTGTAAGCTTTTGCTTCATGTTTTATATATACAGGGCTGGTCCTTCACCGATGTCATGTTTGTCACAAAACGTAATATGGCCACTGCGGTTGCCAATATGTCCAAACAATTGGAACAAGTAACTGCAGCTCTAGCAGTAAGTTGAAGTCTCATCACTTTCTTCTATTTTAAAATCCTTGTGCATAATATTGTAAAAAGTTTCATCATGTGTAAAATTATTTCTTCCTTTTCTCTAAATTGTATGCAGGTTACAAAACGACACCTTACTCAACGGCTTGAAATTTTAGATGGAAAACTTGATGAACAAAAGGAGACATCTAAACTTATCATGAATGAGGTTTATCAAAGTCAAGAACCTTTTTCTGAATAGTGACACCTCATTTTCTAGCCGTTTCTCGATTTGAGCTTACAAAAACTGATAACCTCATTTTTAGGTAACTGAGGTTAGAACAGATCTTTCTCAAATTGGATTTGATGTAGAATCAATTCAGAAAATGATTTCTGGCCTGGTGAGTAATTCAATATCAGCTTGTCCTCGCATGCTTTTAATTTGTTCCTCCCTATGCCTAACAAAATGTGGTTACCACTCTGAACAGGAAGGGAAAATTGGACTTCTTGAAAGTAAACAGGTTCTATCTTGGTTCCCTATCATGTTCAAACCATGTTCACGTGATTTATTGTATGAAACTGTTTTCGCTTTATATTGAACAGGAAATGACTAATACTGGCATTTATTATCTATGCCAAGTTGCTGGAGGAATTAAGGATGGATTCAATACCAAATTTTTTCAGGTTAGAGCCTTAATATGTTTGTTCTTTCATTATATATATTGTGCTCGACTGTAGTTGGAATTTCATGACCCTTCATGCTTCCCGTTAATGCATTAAAAATCTTGTCTGAAATTATTGTACTTTCAGATGACTAAGCTCACATCAGGTTACACATATTTTCTCGTCTATCCTTTTATAGTGATGTTTTCCTACAAAATATTCTACCTGAATGGAGATGGACATGCATAAACACAACCAGACATTCATCCGCATGAGCCTGTCATATGTATTCTACCTGAATGGAGATGGACATGCATAAACACAACCAGACATTCATCCGCATGAGCCTGTCATATGTAGGAGGTTGCAAACGTGGCTAAATCAACCAGACATTCATCCGCATGAGCCTGTCATATGTAGGAGGTTGCAAACGTGGCTAAATTAGGGGAGAATAGGGAACATGTAGATGGACAATATTAAGAGCAAATATCTTGTTTATTTTTAAAAAAATTTCATTTCTACTAAATATCAGGTATTATTTAATGCACATGTGCAATAAAAGGCAGGTGCCTTGTATAGTAACAAAATGAAGTAAGCTAAACCAGCGTACTATTTGTTTATTCAGGGCGAAAGCTAGTAGAAACAAATCTAAAATCAATTTCCTTACATGTAATGAATCACAACAATTACCATTTTGAAAATTTAGTTTTCAGAATCCTAATGTTCAAGTGCGGTTAAGTAGAGTTTCGGAGGAGATGTGAGTCATTGGACTATTGAAACAATTATTTACAGTTGTTTGTTTGGTTCTATGTGCTTATATAGAAAGTAGTGTTTTCTCAATTTTGTTGAGATTTGCATCCCACATTGGTCCAGCCAAATCCATTTGAAAACTAAATATTTTTTGATGACATGGGAAATCTATAGTAAAAGTGCAAGGTTCTCTGGAAGACCTGTGAGATGTAAGACGTTTGTTTGTTAAATTGTTTGTTATGCCGGTCGTTTGTTTGCAAGTTTAACTTAGCTCAAACTAGTCTATTTTTTGTTATTAATTTGGAAATACTTGCAAGATCAAGTCCACATTACTGTCATCATGATCATTTAAATGTTTTCCTGTCAAATGGGTCTCTATCGCACAATTCTATTGTGCGAAGACCCTGGTGAATATTAGCATAATTCCATTTAACTATCAGGAACTGGCAATCGCTTAGCATACTTTCATCTTTCTATGATGTTATTCAGAACTGTTAACACTTTAAAAAAATACTATCTATTGTTTCTTCAGAACCACATTGGATCTTGTTCTTAACCATGCGCCCTATTAAATGGTTCTGATGATACTAATGTTGATGCTCTTCAAATGAGTCTTAAATGGAAGAATGAAAGGGTAAAAGAAAGCAATAGGATTTCCTTAAATGCTTGTTTTTTTAATGCAAATGTGTTGCTTCTTTATTAACATCACAGGAAGCTAGTTCAAAACTTCAAATTAATCGATCATCACCCACCTTTTCTGAGGTCGAACCCCTTCAGGTATGTTATACTATAGTAGTTTAATAATATATACTAATTCAGTAATTTGTACTACGTTCTGAGATTGTGCCATGTTTTTTACCTCATCACAACTTCAGGGATTACAATTTCTCACGAATTCTCTCAGTCCTGAAGAGGTGAAGGAATTAAAGACGAATGATACCTTGCAGAAAGATGCAAGTGAAAAAACCTTGAAGAATACTATCCCAAAGCTGACAACACTACATAGGTCATATGCAAGTGGGATTTCTCTAAGAAAGGAAGGTATTATCCTTTGATAAGTTGGAAATATTATCTCATCATCAATGACAACTATTTTTTTTCTCCAATTGATTCATTTGCCACTGCCACTCATATTGGCTTGATATAGAAACATACATGTACATACATTAAGGTCAGATTTTCAGCTAAAGGACAATATGGTTCTTGTACAAGTATTAAAAACAAAGGCTATGTGGTGATTTGATTTTTTTTTCCCTCCTGTGAAAAGAAATGTAGTATTGTGATGGTCTCAAAGACTGGCAACTTTTTGACGTAGGCGTATGATGAAGGAGAGTGGTTTGTTTTGTTGTCGCAGCAAAAGAAATGACATCAAGTTTGATGTCGAGTGCTTTTTGTTGTGGTACCCTGTTAGCATTTTTGGATTTTAACAAGTGATTATGCACTTTGCACTGTAAGAAGTATAATCATTTATATCACTTATGGCTGGTGTTATCAGTTGTCTGATTTAATTTACGTTTCTCTAGCAATTATTCACGAGATTAGAGTAGCATCTTCCTATCCTTTTGAGAAAGTACTCTCCCGTGCTTCTGTTGTAAACGACTGAACATCTTCAACTTAGTGCAGAGTGTTTTAATCCTAAGCAACTTGAAATTAAATTGAAAATATTTTATACCATGGGCTTGAGGGGTGTATATATAGTAAGCAAATTTCGATTTATTTCTTTTAGCCTCTTGACCTTTTTCTGTTTTCATTCTCCCTTCCAATGGATTCTTTTCTTCTTAACGTGTTAGAAGTTTTGTCACTAACGAAAGCTACGATAGCATGTTCTCTAGTATAATTAAGGAAATATCTATGCAAAACATTTCTTAAAAAATAACTTAGCATAAGATAGCTAGTCATGTAAAATTTCTATAGCCAAACTTACAAAATTCAATCTTATCAGTTCAGATTGAATCGAGAATCATCATATAAGGATAAACGGACTCGCGTCCTTTGAATTGTTTCCAAGATCTGATTTTGGACGGTGCTCAACTGCTAAAGTCAAAGCAGCAATGTAACTCGGTTTCTATATGTGTTTAGGGATGTCAAATGTGTGGTTTTGGTTGGATTTTAGTTGAGTCATAAATAAGTGGGCACATTTATGACCACTTGACCATTTATGACCCATTTAGCATTTGCTAAATGAGTTACTTCTCATCCACCCATTTACTAAATGAGTGGTTCATGGGTGACCCAATAAACCATTTAGTTATGATGCTTTTATATATATATAAGTTTCAGGATCTACTTGCAAACTTTCAGGGGGTTTTCTGTAAACTTTTAGGGTTTTTTTGCAAAATTGCAGAGAGTTTTCTGTAAACTTTCAAGGGGTTTTCTGCAAACTTTCAGGAGTGTTTTGGTAACTTTCAGGGGCTTTTTTGCAAACTTTCAGAGGTTTTTCTGTAAACTTTTAGGGGGTTTTCTGTAAACTTTCAGGGGGTTTTTGGTAAACTTTCAGGGCGTTTTCTGTAACTTTTAGGGGGTTTTCTGTAAACTTGTAGGGGGTTTTCTGTAAACTTTTAGGGGATTTTTTGTAAACTTGCAGGAGGCTTTTGGTAAACTTTCAGTTATAAAGAAAAATGAAACAGTTACAAAGAAGAAGGCACCACATAAGAAGTTGAAATTTTTGGAATAAAATCAAATATAGATGGCAGAAAACCTGTAATGTAGAATTTCTTGTCTAAAAAAATTTGAAACACTCTTTACTTTTTCTGATTTTATCCACCAAAAGGTAGGAAAATGTCAAAAGCAATTCAAAGGAAGACTGTAGAACAATTTCATACAATAGCACAATGATCGATCGACATGTGGTGAGCAAAACGGCAGTTGCTGGCTGATCTCAAACATCGACCACGTAGGAAGTCCTTACAGACCTAAAATAAGTATAATCCATAAAGAATGTAAACATAACCTCATACAATCTCGTATCATAAGTGATGCAAAACTTAGAAAAATCTCTATCCAAACAGAAACAAGGTGCACTATATATGTTTTAATAGAATCAAAACTTTCAGGTGCTCCTTTCTAGAGACTAGCCTGGTAATAGTCATAATAAAAGCATGAATCAGCTAATGACAAGTAGAAGAAGATTCCAATCACTTATCCCTTAAAACTTAAAGTTTTTCTTCGCTGTCGATGCTCAATCTACAAACAAGCCAATCCTAGATAGAAACTAAAATTAGAAGAATGCTTTTATTCTAAACTCAACCCATAGTAGTGTCCATTTTGTTCCTCAGATTATCTCCTAGCTAAATGTAATCCATATATGAGGTGTAGAGGGTTTGAAATCTCATGTACCATGGAGTTAAGGATCTGTGTTTGCTTCTAACAGAGGATATCTTGAAAATATCACTTTGATAATACATCTTAGAAGACGACACTCGGTTTATAAACTTCATTAGTCATTAGTAATTCATCATTAAAAGGTAGAATAATGTACTTCCCCATTTAAAAAATCGACATGTAATGGGCAAGGTTAGGCTGCATTTCAAATAAAAGACGATTTCTATAGAAAGTTTAACAAAGTAAAGACAGCCAACACTGTATCAATGATACCAGAACATCATAATTTCTACCAAAAAACTCAACAAAATCAAATATTTTTACCTCAAGACAAACAAAAATCTAAGCTTTTAAGCAAAACAAAACAAAACAAAATAAACTAGGGCAATTACTGTTCCAGCAATTACTGTTCCATCGAGAAGCAGGAGTGGACTCAAGCACCGCCTCAAGATCATCATTCTGAGTTCAAAACCTCACCCTAACCCTCGAAATCGGAGGGAACCGGATTCCACCTCCCCACGAGCACATCGCGGCCGTTTCCCATGCTCTGTAGCGCTCAGTCGACTCTCCCGCCGCCGACGATGACCGCTGGCACCACCGCCTCGTTCGCCATCGATCTAACCCTCGCCCTAACCCTAGTTCTGGAGATTGAGGAGGGAGAGTGTCGGAAGAAGAGAGCGGCGACGGTGGCGGAGAGAGGAATCAAAGCTCAGAGAGACGAATCGCAGAGAGAGGAGAGCCGAGATTTTTAGGGTTTCGGAGAGAGAATCGCAGAGAGAGGGGAGAGGAGATTTCTATCTGTCGGGTGGGTTATGGTTGGGTCAAGACCCGCCCATCTAATACCCATTTAATCTCTATGGAAATAGTTACCCATCCCATTAGACCCATTTAGCTAAATGAGTTGGTTTGGATGGGTCGGTTTGGATGGGTCTCATATTAGATGGATCTAGGTGGATTATTGGGTTTGGACCAGAATTGTCACCCCTTGCGTCTAAACTCAATATGAAAATATTTACACCTAAAATGACACTTAATTGTGCAAACAAATCCATAATTTTAAAAATTAATTACGCAAAAATCACGAGAGGACATGAGTCCATGACGTAAAGAAAAAAGAACTCATGACCGCTAAAGAGTCGGTTGCTAGTTATAGGTCGGTACATGTGGAGGGATTTGATCACAAAACTACAATTTAGGTGAACTTAGGCATTATGTGAAGTGACACTTCGCACTTTATTCATTTATTATTGGATGCCAAAGCGAGGCAAACCATTAGGACACAAAATCTTTGTGAAATCTGTGGCCGAACCCGAGTTATTTTGTCTGTTCTTTTGGTAACTTTTGTATTCAACACCCTTAGTGTTGTTTTTATCTTTAGGTCCCTCCCTCCTTAGAGAGTTTTTTGTTGGACCCTATTGGGTTGTATTTTCCCTCCTTTGGGAGTTTACTTTTGTTGGCTCCTTTGGGGCTAAAAAATACTTAAATTTCAATGCTTTGATTGTTTTATTAAACTCTTATTAATGATGCATAGGGGGTGGTTACTTACCGTTTTACTAAAATAAAACTTAATTTCAATGATAAGGCTTTTAATTTATCAGAAAAATACCTTGTTTACATTCTACATAAGTAGATGAATTTATGTCTTCTTAAGGTGAGACACGTTATAATAAATGTGATATTTCTTTTTAGATAGAAAAAATAGCTTATGGTATTTCTACTTTATTAGCTAGCATCCATTTTCTGTTATAAAAATGACTAATCAAAATTGTTGCCACTGTCTTAAAATTTCATAGCTGTGTTCACACATCATTCATTTTTCTTGATTCCTTTTGTCTTCTCTCTTACTTTCTCTAAGCGTTACTCTCTTTCTTTCTTTCGCCCACACTTATCTATCTTTCTCATCCTCTCTAGAGTTATTTTTTCTAAGTATAAACATAAGAAATATTTTTACCACTAAAGACTATATATATAACTCATATTATCAGCAAATCTTGAAATTTGCACACTAATAAAGTAGTCTTATTAATAGATTTTTGAAAAGACTTGGAGAGCAAGAACAAGGAGCATGGGGGAGTCCACTAAAGATGAAAAGAGAAAGAATGTATATACGCTCATTAAAAAGAGCACGGAAAATGATATAGAGTTCAAGTGATTGATGCACTCTTAGACAGGAGGAAAGATGAAGAGCATAACAAAGAGAAAATAGAAGAGAGAAATGTGAGAGAAAATTTAACGAGTTTAGTGATAGAGATGTGAAAAAAATACAAGGCACAAGAGAGAGAAATTATATTTACCGTAACAATAGTGTTTTTTTGGATCATTATTGTTATATAATTGGGTTTAAAAATAATGGTTATCATTCTTAAAATATGAGTGGACTCTAAACTTCCCCACTAAAGTACCAATTGACCTATTTCACCCCGTAAACTATGTTTATGAGTTTAATGTTGATAGTTTATGAGTCCACAGTTAAGTACTAAATAGATTAATGATTTGACGGTGTTTCTTTCCATTTCTTTATAGATTTTTATTAGTTTGTCTTTATTTCCGGACAAAAAAAAAAAAAAAAAAAAATTTTTTTTTTTTTTTTTTTTCCGGAAAAAAAAAAAAAAAAAAAAAAATCTTAACGACTTTCTTCAAAATTGTTTTACTCTTTATTCCTTTTTCAAATTGAAAAAAATAAGTTTTTAAAATTGTATAAAATACAAAAAAAAAATAAATAAGAATACTATCAAACAGTGGCGGATCCACAACCTCTCGTGTGGTGGTTCGAAATTAACGCTAATTTTTTTTTCAAATACTACTAAGGAAAGCATTAAAATAATAAACAAATAATAATAAAGAGAAAATAGGAGAAAGTAGAAATGTAAAGAGAAAATAAGGATTATAGGAGAAATTAGAAACATAAAAGAGCTGTAGGAGGTTTTGAACCTTTGACCTCTTTGAAGGTAAGCTAATGCTTATACCACTAGACTACAAACTAACATATCTGAGGTGGTTCAAATGAACCACTTTGAACAAGAACAGATCCGCCACTGCTATCAAATCATTCATTTGTTAAATATTTGATATGGGCTCACAAAATGATTATATATACACATGCACATACACATAGTACATAGTTTAAGGGGGAAAATAGGTAACTTAAGGGAGGAAATTAAGAGTGTGTCAATACTTTGTGAGGAGGATTTTTTTTTTTTTTGGGGGGGGGGCGTGGAAGGGCAATCTGGGATGGTTTGATCATTGACCTTTAAATTAGTTACATGATTAAAACTGCGAACGGGTTATAAACAAACCAGTAAATCAAACATGAAACATTGTAGATTCCTACAGGATCCATACGAAAATCAATGAAAGCAGAGGGGCCATCAAGAAATTCTCCCCAAACTAACAAAACGAGGGAAACAGCGACCAGGGCCTCAGTCGGCCAACAGTGAAACCAGCGATGGAAGGGCCCCACTACACAGTCCTCGGTTTCCTCCTGCTCGTCGCCGTCGGCTACTTAAACTGGTCCAGCNGATCCCATGGCTGCAACCAAAGATGTCCTTCGTCGCCCGCAACGGAACCCGATTCGTCGACTCGGAGACGGGGTCGCTGGTCTACGTTAACGGGTGGAATTCGTACTGGATGATTTCGTCGGGTTCGCCGGAGCTGGTTAAGGAGATGATGAGGAGAGGAAAGGCTATGGGGATGACGGTGTGCAGGACTTGGGCGTTTAATGATGGTGGGCCCAATGCGCTTCAGATCTCGCCGGGGGTGTTCGACGAGAGAATTTTTCAGGTGAGGGGGTTTTGGTGAATTTGTTGGGTTTTCTGGGTTGAGATTTTTGGTGAATTTGGGGGGTTTCTTTCGGATGAAAGGACTGCCGTTTTTCAATTCGATTGGAATTCTGCATTTTGGGGGTGTTCAGATTTCTTCTGATTTTAGTTTTTTTTTCAATGGAATTCTTGCGTAATTTAATTTGTTTGGTGACCTTATTACTGAAAAGATACTATTTTTCGTATTTAATTTGAAAAATTTGTCGGGAGTTCTCATTGCTTTGAGAATTGTGCACTGTAGACGGACGAGTAGGACGAGATATGAGGTTTAATCAATGAATTGTTTTATTTTTCAATTAATTCTTTGTGTTTTTTCCCTTTTCTCTGAATTTCGTCAAAGGGGTAGGAAATTCTAAATGGGATATCAATGAAAGTTATACTACGGGCTTTAGCTATAATTCTAGATAGAATCTCAATTTGCTTGGAGTTGCTTTGATTTTAAATTGACAGTTCATTTTTAATATAGCACAATATTTTCATTTATTCGGGGAACTGTTTGATTTCAGGGATTGGATTATGTAATATATGAAGCCAGGAGGAATAATATAAGGCTGATTCTTTCTCTTGTAAATAATCTCAATGCTTTCGGGGGCAAAGCCCAGTATGTCAAATGGGCTAAAGCAGCTGGAGCCAATGTGACATCCTCGACGGATTCTTTCTTCTCACATCCCACTATAAAGAGATACTATAAGGATTATGTAAAGGTATGCTTATAGTTGTAGAGTTATCTCAAGTATTTTATTCAATATAATTTCTGCTTTTATTCCTCTCTGAATTGCAACCCTAGGTGGTTGGTGATATGCTTGCTTAATAACTTGGTATTCTTGTCAGTTATCATACTTATTTCAAGAATATGTTTACTGTGCTATGAACTTCAGAAATCCTACATGTTTTGTGCATTCATAGGATATCTTACAAGTTTAATCTACAAGAATCTTAATTAGCTGATAATGTCTTATTTGTTTGTTCTTTCGCTAATTAATGCCTTAGAGGTCTGTGTGCACTGTGCAGTTTCCTATAACAGTTTATCTTCCTCAACACCTCTTCTAATGTTCTTTTCTCATTGTCAAGGACAAGTTTAGAGTTGTTCGTATGTTGATTAAACTGAATAAAGGTTCATCTTGTATGTTAGAAACTTCTTTATTGTCCATTTATTTGTTGTCTACGAAGTTCCTTCCCCAACAATTTAGAATCGAATCTTATAGGGTGAGCGCAAAGCTGACAACAGATGTTGTAAAAGTTTCTTCTAGGCAATTGATACTGATATCTAGCTGACTTCATTTACAAACTAAAGGACATGCATGGAGTAATATGAATGAAACAAGATATGCCATACAAAATATATGTATTCTAATGGCTATTAGCCTTGTGTATTTTGGCACTTCTGGTGGTGGTCCTTCACTGTGTGATAAGCTATGTTACCCGGGTAATTGTACCATGAAGCCATACCCGTACCCAAACTTCATGGACACTCCTATGGATTTATGCATACATTTATTCAGACATGTATTCAATTATGCTATATATGTTTTAATTTAACATACTTGTCATACACTTCTTGAATGTATATCCTACACTTCATATCCATTTCTTGAGACTTGTTAGACATGTGTTCGGTTTGATCATTCCATATCCAAGTTTAAAATTTTGATTTAAAAGGGTGGTTTGAGTGTCTAGTTAAAAAATAAGCAGTTTCCAATTTATAATAATCAACATAATAAAAAAAATTTAAACATATGATAGCAATTTAAATTAAAATAGCGCATTAATTGAAAAATAATAATGATCTCCTATAAATTATTAATTTCGATATATATGTAGCCGTGTCCCCGTACCCTACATTTCACAAATTTGTCGTGTCCGGTACCTGCACCCACACCCGTACTGGTATTGGTACCTTTACCCGTTTGCTTGCAACTTAGGTGATAAGCATCATGAGGAATACCTTTAGCAGGCATTTAACCAACATTACCTGTGCAATCCATCATTTACAAAATTTTGTAGTATTGAATGTGGAGACATGAGAAGGCACTTGGATGCATGTCTCACGACTAAAATCGAGCTTGTGGAAAAGAATGGAATAAGGGTATTGCATTGGAAAACAAGCAAGGGGGTTCCGAAAGAATATCTTGAAAACTCCGTTAACTCATGGAAGAAAAACAATAAGGATCAATGACTATTATTCTTTTACTGCCAATACCGTCCAAATCAGTGTCCTGCTTTCTTTTGGCTTAATTGCATATACACTATATACATGTCCCATTGTATTTAACAAATAATTATTAAAGCAAACCTATTCTTATCCGAAACATATGAGCAGAAAATGTGTTTGCACCCTTATTTATTGGAATTACAATTACTTCTGAGATTATATCCTCTCCTGCAACCTATGTTACACAGATACTTTGCATATGTAATATTTGAATGCTTAATACATGTGGATACATTTCTATACTCCTTTCGCCACATCCTAAGACAGCAAAACTTGTAGAATTTCATCTCTTTTCCATCCATCTGGATTTTGGTTTGTATTTCCTTTCCATGTAAAGTTCTGTGAACATGCTGAAATTAATTGCTTTTGCATGTCTCTTAAGCAAGTATTAGCATAAATTACTAGCTTTCCATTACGATGGATGCTTAGCTATATAATCCTGCTATTCGTTTTATGATTTAACTATGAGTTGTTCCCAAATATAAGGTTGGTCATCCCTAAGTAAATCTGTAAGTTTTAAGCAAATTACTTTTCTCATATTAATGTATAGCCACCCTAAAGAAGTCTCCGTCTCATCATAATTTTCTTCTATGTTAGTCTAGACAAAAGTTAATATGATATTGCTGGGGCTGAGTTGCAGGCAATATTGACGAGAAAGAATTCATTTAGTGGTGTCACATATTCTGATGAGCCTGCTATATTTGCATGGGAGCTTATGAATGAACCTCGTTGTGTGTCCAACTCATCTGCTTCTCTTCTTCAGGTACTGAAACAAATCTTAGTTTGACTATATTAAGGGAAGACTTATGAATTAAACTGAGGGTTGATTGTGGATAGACCCCCTGTACTATCACCCAATTGCAAATAGACCCCAGTAGTACTATTGTGCATATCCCCCTGTACTACTTCCTAATTGCGGGTAAACCCCCTGGACAATTTTTTTAGAAAAAAAGTTTTTTACAGCTTGAACTAAATTGATTTCCATAGTACAAAGGGTCTATCTGCTTAAATTAAATTGATTGCACTTAATTCCCAGATCCTTTAAAGCCTGAGCTTTTAGTTTTTTTCCTTTATTGTAGGCTTGGATTACTGAGATGGCATCTTATATCAAGAGCTTGGATCAGAAACATCTCGTCACAATTGGCCTTGAAGGGTTTTATGGCAAGGAAAGAGCTGAAAGATTAGGAGTCAATCCCGGGAATTGGGCTTCTTCACTTGGTTCAGATTTCATCCAAAATTCAGCTGTTGAGCATATCGATTTTGCTTCAGTACATGCATATCCAGATAGCTGGATACCAAAAGCAAACTTAGAAGAGAAGGTTAAGTATCTGTCTGACTGGGTTGATTCTCATGTGAACGACAGTGAGTACTTGCTGAAGAAACCCGTGCTCTTCTCAGAGGTAGGCTCTCACCTGGAAATGAAGAAGAATGGACTATATGACAGAGATATTTTATTGAAGACGGTTTATGATAAAGTGTATGAGTCGGCTAAGAAATGGAAAGCTGGAGCCGGAGCTTTAATCTGGCAATTAACGGTGGAAGGAGTTCAAGGATATCATGATGAGTTCTCACTTGTAGCAAGAGAGCACCCATCCACTTATAAGCTCATAGTCAGACAATCTTGCAGGTTAAAGAATTTGTTTAGAGATAAAGGGGAAGCAAATAGAACTGTTGACCACCAATGTGCTGATTTGCTATCGTAAATACTGTTATTTGTTCATTAGAGTGTTCAATGTACGAGGAAACAAACAGAAGATTTCAACCGTGTGCAGAGATGTACCGTGATGTGTAATCCCATACCTATGAGTTTATATAGTATATACGAAATTATAGATATTGTTTCATTTGTTCATTCTATAATTGATCGAAGATTTTTTTCTTTTTTATTGGAAGTCGTTAATTATAAAGCTTTTTTAGCGAGGTTGCTGTGTATTAGTTTCGTAGCCGACAGCATTAAAAGATTTAAAGCTGTGTATTAGTCTTATGCCTGACAATTTATCTGGCCTTAAATATTACGACCAACAGGGAAAAGAAAGACGGTCGATAGCCAAAAGAAGGGGATTCCAGGAAATGCTTCTTTCAGGCTCTCTTATGTGCGTCTTCGATTTCAATATCAGATTGAGAGAACAGGTCGGGAGTAGAAAGCCTAAGCAGGAAGATCCAATCGTCCCGCGATTACTACTTTGCTCTTCCTACTACTATGAGTGTCATCAGATTGAGAGAACAGGTGGGGAGTAGAAAGCCTAACCACGAAGATCCAATCGTCCCGGGGACTACTGCTATGCTCTTCCTACTCCTATGGCAGACACTTCGTACATGCTACTTTCTAGTCTTCACCACGTGAAATGGTAATGGTTGTTGGTGTCGGGTTTCTGTTTCCTGTTGGAGAGTGGAGTTCCAGGTGAGAATGCGGGAGACAAGTAGCTGTTCTCGCAATAAAAAAAGGTATAGCATGCCTGAATCGAACCAGGGTTAGCGGGAGTGGAGGAACCGGATCGGAGAAAAGAGGGATTCTAGTTGTAAAATAGCTGATGAAACCGTAGCTGGAATTGGGATCTCATTCAAAGAGAAAGATAGCAAATATCTGATGGTTTACAGGGTTCACAAATACTCCTCTTACCAGAGGAGGCTTGCCTAG